ATCCTGACCAGACTGTCTGTCTATGTGCAACAGAGCGAGGAGAGTAAAGGAACAGACAGTGGGAGTAGGTCTCAAAAGACATGCACAGTTCCTCCAGCCCCGTGAGGCTTGAGTTGGCCAGATGTTTCTGAGTCTAGAGCAAAGTAGCCTGGCCAGAGCTTTCTGTGTTGATAAAGACTTAAACATCTGCCTGAGATCAGCAGGCAACTTGCCTGTCTGTTCAAAAACTCAGGTGAAGGGCTAAGACAAATCTCTCTCCTCTCCCTGCCTCCCATAAGACATCGTGGTCCTTGGGAAAGCTGCTGGGGGAGGTTTGGCTGGGAGTTTGCCTGTATGTAAATTGGAGAAATGCACATACTGTACACTATCCACAGATATAGCCAAGTAGATCTGGGTAGCAAATACTTTTTTTTTTTCCCAAGGTAGCATTTAGCTCATCTAGGGGGAATGTGTTTGTATACACATTTGCATATACCCACACGAGGATATAAGCTAATTTTTTTTTTACAGGACACAGAATTCTATTCAATACTGTTAAATATGCCAATAGTTTAATTGCTTCTCTTTTGCTGTTGTTGCTTGTTTGAAGAAAATCATGACATTCCAAGTTGACTTTTTTTTTCATTTTAATTAAAATTTGAAATTCTGAACACCTTCTTTTTCCCTATAATGGGGGTCATCTGACCTCTAGCCTTTTCTTTTCCTCTTGCTTCCTGTTTGGGGGAGGGTCTTCACTTCACTGCCTTACTGTCTGGCAGGTGGCAGGTGGTCAGAGGTCTTCACGCAAAGAAGGACAGCCAAGTGTCCTGCCTTGGCTCGATGGCCACCTCTCCTGGGCTTGGGGACAGCCTGCTGTCCTCCTCCAGTTCAATGGTGGATGACTGCCATCTCCTGGGGTCCTCATTTCATGGAATTACTATGGGAGGTCCCTGGGGAAGCCTGGCTGTGCCATCAGCTGTAGGGTTTTTGTTGTATTTTTTTGGAAATAAAACTATAATATAAATTCTCCTATTAAATAAAATTATTTTAAGTTTTAGTGTCAAATGTGAGCTGTGGAGAGTAGGGGATCACGTGTATTTTACAGAGTTGTGGGGGGGTGATAGGATGGCGACATTGAAGGTGATGACTGTCTCTTTTTTGTTTTTGTTTTTTCCTTCAGATTATGGGTATTTATCCTCTATTAGTATTTGTATCTTCAATTCATTCCACTTTAGGAAACAGAGCTACCAACTGAAACAAGAGTAGGGGAGAAGAAAAGGCAGACAACAAGATGTAGTATGTCTCTCACACACAATGTCCAGGCAAGAGGTTTGGCAGGACCCCACAGCAGGAAGACAGTGTAGGGGTTGGGTTTCCTTGCGATCGACTTCACTACTGTGCAACTGTCTCCTGTGCTCCCGCCGTTTGGCAAAGGGGGATGGGAGGTGTGGCCTTCTCCATGAAGCTGTAGAAGCGGAGGAGTTGAGGCCAGCAAGCCAATGCTTCTAAGATATTTGGTGTTTCTCAGACTTGGTGTTTAGGACTATCACGATTTCAAGCCCAAAAGTTTTGCAAGGTGGAGCTCAAGCTCCTAGTCCAACCTACATGCATGCCTTCTGCCAGTGCCCCCAGAGTGTCTTCAGCCAGGCAATTGGCCCTTCTTGGTCCCTGGTGTGGTCACCCCCACTCCCACGAAGGGGGACTCAGGGTAAGGACTGAACACAAGACCCCTGAAGTTTCTCTGCAGCATAAATCAACTGGCAGAACCATAGCCCCACCAGCAAGGCCCTGAGAGGATGTCCCGGGCTACAAAAGGTCTTTTGCAAATTGCTGTGGTCAGAGGGTGGTTTGGAGCTTTCTATAAGCTATAGCGTTGTTTATTTCCTCTGTTCATTTACTGTATAATGTAAAGTCATTTCTGTAGCCGAGACACCTCTGTATTTCAACCCTATCGTGAATGTTTTATTTTGCTAAATCTTATGTCATGTGTAGGCTGTAATATGTGTACAGTGTGTCTGAAAAAGTAAGAAAGAAAAAGAAACCCACATGCCACCATTTTCCTGAATCAAATTCTACAGTGGAATAGACAGTAAAGTACTTCTATGCGGGCGGGCAGCTAGGCTGGCAAATTGGGGAATTAGAACTCACAAAGAAGCCTCCTTCCTATCTGAATCCCATGGGTTCCTTGAGTAGAAAGGAGAGAGGGGGAAAATAAAGAACATATACTCATGTCCTTGCTTTGTATCACGTATAGTCCTGGGCCATCCTCCCCCATCAACCCTTGTCCCCTCTCCCTCTCCAAGTTCTTTAACCCACTCATTTGAGAAGCCATATTTTTGCCCCAAAGTCCAGGCCCTTGGAAACTCTTTAATTTCAAGTTCTTTTCTGCTTTCTCTGGGCATCAGTTCTGCTTTCCCATCAAGGGAACTCTATGTCCAGGCTCTTCTCTCCCAGACCGGCGCTCTGCTATGGGAACTTTCTGATCTTTACCCCTCTCAAGCAATCTCTGCCTTGCCTTATGATGACTGAACGAACTACAGCCCAGGATATCTCCATTTCCCCTGTCAATCATTCTTTAACCACAAAGGAAACAAGTGACTTTTTTGAAATAGCTCTGTCTAGGAGATACTGTGGCCTCCCCAGGAGAGAATGCTTATCCCTTTCCTGCACCAGCCTTTTCATGTTGGGCATGATAATCAACAATGTAGATTATCCCCCCCCCCACCCAAGATGGCACCCAAGTGTTTGGCTCCTGGATACCTAAAGTTTTTTTTTTTAATCACTAGGTTATTGGTATTTGAGAGAAACACTATTCCAAAAAATAATCTAATGGCAAAAGCACAACAAAATGGGACATGGTAGGGGAAATGGCTCTTAACAGCCCCCCTGTTGGATCTTTGGGGGTTAGAAGAGGGAAGGAACTTCGCGATGCTTTTGCTTTGAGGCAGGGGGCTTCTTAGATTCTCCCATGCTCCACCTTTCCCTTTACCCAGTCTGCTGTGTGGAAACCCGGAAGTGATGGAGAGAAACCAACCAGAGAAAACCCTGTCTGGAAGGAATGTATTTGTTGCTAAATTTTGTAGCACTGTTTACAGTTTTCCTCCATGTTATTTATGAATTTTATATTCCGTGAATGTATATTGTCTTGTAATGTTGCATAATGTTCACTTTTTATAGTGTGTCCTTTATTCTAAGCAGTAAAGTGGTTTTATTTCTATCACACAACACCTCTTGCCTCGTGCCTTGTTGACTGCCTGCGTGGGTTCGGTGGACACCAGGGGGCCTTGGAAGACTGTCCTGCTTGTATTCTAGGCCCTGCAATCTGTGTTCTAGGCCCATGCATACTCTCTCCTCCACTCATAGCTACAGCATACGCCAGCTATTTCGGGGGGAAGAATTTCAGGAGCAGTGTCTATGATTTCTCCATGGATGCTGATGCAGCCCCAACTTTATTCCCTGATTTTATTACCAGAGTTTTCCTTGGTCCTGACACATCTGGATCTCTTATCTAATTTCCTAGGGTCGGAATCAGACTTTCTTGTGTTCTTCCTGAGACTTGCACCCTGGTAGAGGGGGAAGAGAGGCCTGTATGCAGTGGTATTTGATGGCAATGGCCAGCCTTAAATTCCCAGGGTAGCTCAGCCTGGTTGGGAATGCCAAGAACTCCTTGTGTTGTCATGACAACTGATGAGCCTCCCCTCCCCCCCAGCACATACAGCCAGGTGTTCACCCAGTGGGCTGCCTCCACTGCAGATCACTCATACCAAATGTCAGCCCTCCCACCCCATTTCTTTAGTGACCATGTTCCAGATTATGTGTTGTGCTCCTGTTTGGAAGGTCATTTGCGTTGAGTATCTGAGTACCCATCCTGACACCTGACCACATGAAATCTCAACAACCTTGAGGAGAGTGTGACTCTTGGAGTGAAGACATTGTTTGAGACCTAGAAAGTAGAGACAGAGCTGGGTCTCTAACTCAGGCTGGATGGAGATAATCATCTCAAGTTTTCTCCATTGTATTCACATTTTAGTGGAAGGTGCTGGGTTTCATGTGTGCCTGTCTGGTGCCAAACCAGCAATAACTCAGGTTTTGTGGCTCTCCCTTGATCAGATACAGGAGAAAGGTGATCAGTGGGAACTTCCACCTGGCAAGGTAGCTCCCATCTGGAGCCTGCAGTTGTACTCGGCTGAGTTTCCAAACAGGGCTGTCCAGCTCAGCAGCCTGAGCCTGCGATTTGAAATTCAGGCCACAGACCCCAGCAGGAGTCTCAGATACCATATTCATTATGTTATTCCCCCAAGATGTATATCTCCTGCAATGCCAAGTCTAGGACCATAGCCCTTTGATTCTTCTAACGAGTTCAAGAAGTCTATCAATCATGACTGCAAGCGGCTGCCAACTACTCCTAACTCTTCTACCCAACTTTTGGCTATCTCCAGAGAACTCTCTATCCCTCAACACTGTATTGACCTGCTCGGCCCAAGCACTTTCCAAACAGAAGGCAAAGATCACATACTCTGAGCTCAGCTTTCCAGACGCTTTTCAGGGGCAATCTCGGGCATAGTCACAAGTTGGCAAGTAAAAAGAACACATAAGGCAATAGCTATCCAACAATCAGTGCAAATATAATGTTACTGGTTTTTTTATTATTAAATACTAATTAAAACCAAGACCCAGATGAGACCCAAGTAAAACAATATGGAAACATCTTTTTCCTTGATCATCAACCTAGAGTTTCAACATGGCAGCTCAAATTGTCCCCTGATTTGCTGTCAGTTCCCAAAGTCTCACAGAATGCCATCTACCTTTGCCATTTGACCTGCTGCCTGAATTCCCTCTGGAGATGAACTCTTCCCCTCAGACAGCCAGTTATTACCACCAGACTTGAAGACTCTACCTTAGAGTCCATGTGTTCCGAGAGTGACCCTGGAACCCACCTGCTCTGGCCAAAGAGACTCAGGACACAGACACCTGTGTTCATTCCACAGCATGAAAATAAGCATGAAGAAAAGGCCACTCACCATTGGCTTGTGGTTGGGGAAAAATGTCTGTTCTACGAGTGGGAACTTCTCAGGACCCAGGGAATGGAAGATCTTGATGAGTTGAGAGAACTGGAGAGAAGCCAAGAAATATTAGTCAGCCATGATCGCATACGATGGTGAAATTACCCACTCGATCCTAGACTTTGAGTGTAGGGAACCCTGAGGCTGAGCTGTGAGACTGAGAAAGGGGTAAGAGGTTGGAATGCTGCTTGATCACCACTCAGAAGGCTGAGAACTGGACCCAAAAGGACAAACAGACAAGGCAAAACAAATGTGTAAGTTACTGTGATGGTTTAAGTTAGAGTGGTTTGGATCCTACAAATAAGATGAATGTATTATTGTTAAATGTTTACCACTTCCCTCTGCTCTCTACCAAATGGGAGTCAATTATCACTATGTGCATAAACTAGATCTCATGTTAATAAGCTTGCTTACAGGAACTCGGGGTTCAGAAGCCAGTGAGCACTGAATCCCCTTTGAATCTTCATTGAATTCCCACTTTCTTTACTCTCTCTCTCTCTGTCTCTCTCTGTCTCTCTCTGCCTCTGTCTCTGTCTATCTGTCTGTCTGTCTGTCTGTCTGTCTGTCTATCTGTCTCTTTGTCTTTTCTCATTTCTTCGGCTCTGGTATCCTGTCTTTCTGTCCCAGGTTGCAGGTAGCAACATTTGAGCATTCAAATGTTCTATGCTCCAGCACCTGTTTCCTGTTGCTCAGATAGATGCCAACCTCTTTCACTAGGTCTCCACCCTATCCATCATCTAGCAGCAGCAACCTCTCTATGCCTGCCCAAGGTCTAAGATGTAGGCAAAACTCTTGAGGTCAACTCAACTTTATTTCATCAACACTTGCTCTATATCTTCAGCATTTCACACCAGCTCCTGGCCCACGGAACAGCCACTGATGTTTATACCATCCTGCTCCCCAGTCCCTGCCCCTCCCCCACAACACCTGCCTTTCCGGAGGGATAACATTATAAGGCAGTTGGTAGGTACACTGTGTCTCGCTCTGCCACTTACTATGTAACTTGAGAGTTACTAAAACTTTCTGGGCTTCAGTTTCCTCATTCATAAACCGGAGATATCAAAAGATCTTCCCTTATTGTGTTGTTTTAAGAATATAGCTGATTCAACATCTGTTAAAGCAAATTCCTGACGTCTGGGTATGGTGCCCCACACCTGTAATCCTAGCTACCTGGGAGGTAGAGATTGGGAGGATCACTGGGGCCAGCCTGAACACTGTATGACTCCAATATCACCAATAGCTGGGAGTGGTGGTGAGTACTGTAATCTCAGCTATAGTGGAAAGTAGAAATAAGAGGATTGCAGTCCCAGCCAGCCCTGGGCAAAAAGTAAGAATCAATCTCAAGTGGTAGAACATCTACCCAGCAAGTATGAAGTATGAAGTTCAAACGTCTCTACCTGCTGCACAGGTAGCACTGGGATGTTGTTATTATTGATAGATGTTCTTTGCCTTTACAAACCCATGTGTTTCTAGCAGCCCAGGCCAGGCCTCTTCCTAGAAGGTGCCCATTGTTTCTGCACTACCTTTGGGGGCCACAGCTTTGCTTCTGTGGCCAAAGTGAGAGAGTGAGCTCCGGACCAACCACCCAGCATTGTGGAGGGTGGGTTGCACCTCCAGTGTGCCTCATTCTGTGCCTGATTATTGAGGCAACAAATTTTGCCTGACAGATAGAAGACAGGTTGTACAGTATGATGTTGAGCTTATAACCATTTGCTGAAGGAGAGTGTAGGGGTTTTAGCATCTGGAAGGGGACAGGGCGAGGAATCAGGGAGGCCCCTGGAGCTGATTACAGGAGAGGGAAGGATATTCTGGGCGTGCTACGAGAGCCGTGTTTCTGGAGACCCTGAGTGACTCTCATGACTGAGGCCTCAGGTGCAGGAGCTGGTTGAGAGAGGTGGAGAGGGAATCATCCACCAGGAGACTTACAAGGTGGGACCAAGGAGCTGAGAATTCACCCAGAAGGCAAAGGAGAGCTGTAGGTAGATACAAGCAGGAATAGGCAACTTAGACTCTGAACAACGGAAGGAATAAGCTACAATTTGTGGCCAAAGGTAGATACCAGTGTTAGAAAGGAGAGCTATGTCTCCTGGAAGACTGACTTGGGAGTAACTCAGTACTAAGAACTTGCAGAGGGAAGTAGGCAACTCAGGAACTAGCTAGATTCTTGGGGTCTAGCCTGCAGATCAGCACAAAGAGTCAACCTGGTGGGTTTGGTGTTCCTTGGAAATGTTATTAAAGGGTTCCCCTCATCTTCCAGAAAAGGAAGCTGAAAGCCACAAAGGGAAAGCAATTGCATAATGAAGCACTTGGGCTTGGGAAAGGCCTAGTTCTGTCACTCACGACCAGCTCTGCAGGCTTCTGTGTTTTCATCTGTGCTGTGTTGATTAGCAGTATCTGCTCATCAGTTTGGTTCTGACAATTAAGCACAATCTATGAGTTGTGTGGAGGCGAAGAGCCGGGCTCAGTGAGCTCAGTGAAGCTGAAGTTGCTCCCCTCAGGTGACTGGGGACTCTTGCCTGTTAGTCGCCACTTTGATCCTAGATGTGGTGAGTCAGAGCTCAGTCAGAGCACAAGAAGGAGGTCCAGGCCATGACAACAGTGTTTCTGTTAAATGAATGCATGGGCTCACCCAATAGGCATCAAGTGCCAATTCAGTGTAGAAGATTCCAGGTATAGGAGATGATGATGATGATGATGATAACTGCCACTATTTATTCAGGATATGCTCTGTGCCAGCCACAATTAGAAGCATTTAATATGCATTCATTCAAAAGACCACCAGGTAGACCCCGTTATTACCATCCTTTCCTAAACAAAAAAGCTAAGTTCCCTGAGATCAAGTCATTTGCTCCATGGTATACAACTAGAACCTAGGCAGTCTGCCGTTGGAGCCCAGGCTCCCAACCAGTACCCTATACAGAGAGGCAGCAAAATAGTGCGTGTATGTGTGTTTGTATGTGTGCACGTGCATGCACATGCATGTGGGCATGCACACACATATATGCATATATACACCTCTCTCTCTTTCTCTCTCTCACACACACACACATTTGTTGACTTGTTGCACCACTGAATTACTTCTAGCAAGGGAGGCAGATAATGCATATTCTAGGGTGAACATTTTGGGAAAACATACAAAGCAGAGTAGAGGATTTGAGGGCAGACGAGGAAGTGGAGGGCTGGTATGTTAGGTCACGCCTCTCCTGTAGGTAACACGTGGAGAAAACTCAAATCCAAGGAATGAATGAAACAAATGGATACAAGCAAGAATGAAAGCCTTGGGGTTTGGAGAGAGATTGTTTTGAGGTGTGGTGGCTTCAAGATTTGGTTTCACCACTCACTGGCATGTGACCCTGCTGAGTTCCTTAGTCACCACCCCAAACTGAGCTTCCTTCTCTTTTAAGAGGAGGAATGATGCCCACCCCACTCACGCATCCATGATGGTTTGGGCACAGGAAGCACGTACTTCTGGTATGTAGTAAATGCTTAATAAATGATGCTGTTGAACCATGGTGACAATCCCACAATGGCACGTTTAGAACAGTGGATGCCTCTTTATGACTAATATTACAGCATGATACTGTATCACTATATAACTCCTACAGAGGAGGAGGCCCCTGTGCCAGGGAAGGATCCCAATTCATGGCTAGGACACCCAGTATCTCTTGGTCCCCTCCTCCATCTGGGCCTGGCTTGTCACCTACCACCCAAGGCTTGCTGCAGAAGTTGTAGACGGAGTAGAGGGAGTTGACCGCAGGCAGCCCTCCATACTGCAGGCCGATCACCAGGCTTCGGTAATCCTCACCCAGTGCCATGCTGTAGGCGTGCTGACGGACCAGGACAAAGTCGGGCTTGAAGGATCTGCGGAGAGAGGGGTCAGAGCAATGTCACTGTGTGGTGTTTGGCCAGGAGCCCATGGCTGGCTGGGTGCAACACAAATAGGGTGCGGTCACTGCCTTGGTGGGGGAGGGAGGTGTCTCAGCAGAGGCCAAGGAGAAGGTATTGCTGCCAGCAGACCCCCATTTCACAGATGTGTACCCCGAGGCTCCGAAAAGACTGTATCCTTTGCTCACAAAGGTAATGTGGTGGGCCAAGTCTGCACAGCCTCATGGCTCCCAGCCATCTGCATGTAACCAGGATTGCTCCCCAGAGATGTCAAAGAAAACCTGTCTCATTCTGTCCAAGGAATAGCCTCAGGAAGGCAGCACGAGTGTTTATGGGATGGCCAGAGTTCAGGCCAGGCGTTCTACTGGATCCCTCTGAAGGATCATGACAAAAGGCTATACAAACAGACCTGGGGATGGTCTGGGTTATTTCCCCATTCTATAGTTGGGAAGACTGCATTTGTCTTTCCCAACACCTTGCCTACAAACTTGCCAAAAGCCCAAAGCTGGAGAGCAAGAGAGTCCCCTTTTAAACTCAGCTATCTGGCTCCAAGTCCACCATAGGCTTTTTACTCCATCTCTGGCTCCTGATGGATGTACACACTGTTTCGCCCACAGTCAAGGGGCAAGCTATTTCTGGGTTCCTTGCTTGTAAGTTGCACGACACAATCTGCCTCACTGGAGGAAAGAGGCTTACACTCAACGTGGCACCATCGGCCTGTTTGACTCATTGTGAGTCAGATCTTCCACTTCAAACGCAGCGTGTCTCTTTAAAATCATTCTGACGCAAGTTAAAATAACTCTCAAAGGGAAAGGACTTGTCCCCTGTAGAGAAGGAACGAATGTGCTGCCCTGCAGATATTTCTCGAATCCTTCTGATCTTGGTCCTCACTATACCTGCCAGCACCTGGCACCATAGCTCAGGTGTGTGCTGATTCTGTACTGAAGGCATGGGTGATGTGCATGAACCTTTCCTCCCGTCACGCCACAGGAGATGATACAGGGCTCCTTGGCTATCTTGATTCATCTCAAGGGGGCCACTTGGATGGCGGTGTCTTCTTCCCATGTCTGATTCACAATACGCTAATCATGGTCACACAACTCTGGGTAGACTAGCAGCAACAGCAGAGGTGGGAGATCTGAGACCTGAGGATCATGGTTTGAGGCAAACCCCGGGTAGGAAAGTCTTTGAAATTCTCATCTCTGATTAACCACCAAAAAGCCAGAAGTAGAGTTACAGCTAAAGTAACAGAACACCAACCTTAAGTGAGCAAATTCAGGAACAACACCCAGATCCTCAGTTTAAGTCCCAGTATGAGCAAAAGAGAAAATAACAACAACAACAGATAGCAGTACAATCAGAAGAGGAACTCTGCCTGTCTCATACCAATGAGAATGACTGCATGAATGGATGTGTGCGCACAGGAATAAATAAATGAGTAAACACTAAGGGCAGGGGTCATCAGGGAGGGGAGGAATTCTTCCCTGTGCTCCTAGAGAAGAAAGTAGGTCTGATGGTCAGCATAAATAGCAAATACCACCACACACCAGTCACTACTGGGCTGCTTTGCAGGAACACACATTTAGCTTTTATGGAGGAATGTTTTTACCACCAGGAGTTTTTTAACTCCAGGGAATTCTAGTTGGCTCCCATGACTTCTTGTGCTTCCCATATTCAAGTAAAGGGAACATACTTGCCATATGTGACATACCCGTGCTGACCTAACCTGTGCTTGTTGAGATTTGTTTGGATTGTTTCCATTCATTGCTACCTATAATGCACAGTTGGAGATATTTGCAAAGAATATAAAGAAATGAGTGACTCAAGTCAGGTAACAGGTGGTGTGCAGTGTCTCCCTGAAAAATCCATCACTCTGGGCACTCTTCTCTAATCAGGGGATGGTCGAGTCCTTCCTGTCGACCTCACATCCATGCATGTGGCTCTCAGGGACTAGTTTGAGTCTCAGGTTATAAGGGAATCATGACATTTCTTCTTCAGCCAGGCTGAAGAAAGCTTTGTTACCCTTCTTGGGTTTTGAGTCCAATAAACCTGTTGGCCTATGAGTTTGTCTTTCTGACCTTTACTCATACTCTGGGACTTGAAAATACTTCTTTACACTTGGCGCCAAAATCTGGGACTTGAAATAGTTCCTTACATTTGGTGCTAACATCCGGGACCCAAATTATTTCCTTACAGTGGCCCCCAACTTCTGTCTAACCCTAAAAATGGACCAAGGAGAGGCTGATGATCCTGAGATTATTGGGACATGATCTATACCGTCCCCAATTATAGCCTCGGAAGAGTTTGTTGGGTGCCATGTACTAAATGCACAACTAAATGAGTAAAACACTAAAATAAATCGAAGAGTATATTCAACTCTGTCTGATGCAGTTCTGGGAGTGTGTACGTGGAAGGTTTGAAAGAAAAGTAGCGGTTTATCAAGAGCAGAGATCTGAAGTTTATCCTCGGGAGAAGAAATGGTATAGCAGCCCACATTGGTTTATTTGCTCAATATTCTTTTATATTTTTGGCAGAAGAATTGACAATAAGATCCCCTCCAAGATTCCAAGACCCACTTTTTTTCTGGGCAGGAAGTCGTCTAAGGATTGAGGCAGGTGTGGAATGGACCCATCAGACTTCTGTGAGCTCTAGGAGAGAGGAGGTGAAGTAAGATGGATGGAGTGCCAGTCAGGACCAGAGACAAAGAAAGACAAAAGCCCTGTCCATGTGTGTTAAGTCCCTGAATCCTCCTGAGCCTATGAAGAGCTATCTTGATCTCCTGAGCTAGGACATTCTTCTTTTTGCCATGCTTCACTGTTTTGAGTTGGGTCTGTCACTTACCATCAAAGTTGTTCTGACTGACATGGAGAAGAACCAGCAAAATCTGCAATCAATGCTATGGTTGGAGTCTAGAGTAGGGTGAGGTAGAGGCCTGAGCTGAGGCTGAGCCACCTTTCTAAGCCCCTTGCTGCTTCTTTCTGTCTCCCTCATCCCACAGGGATCATGTCCTCTGCCTTTCATGCCTGGGCAAGATCTTCTTCAATCCCACACAAGTTGACACATCCTGGCTGGAGGCTGTGGTTGGGGTTTCTTGTTGTGTCAGTCTTAAAATGAATATGAGCTCTATTAGTCGAATTCCTGGCAGCCCAGGTGTTTCCCAGAGGTGGCTGTGGGCACTTTGGAAGAAATCAAGGACAGTGGATAATTAAATGGCAGGGACAGGACAGGTGATGCATTGCTGGGGATCATGAAGGGCTTCAGGCACCATCAAGAGGCAGGGGGCCAAAAGCTGAGTGACTCTTCACCATCACAGCAGTGTCATAGTTCCCTCAACTATGCAAAGGCCTGCAGGAGCAAGAACAGAGCTTGGAGGGGTTTTGGCTGGGACCTCTGTTAATGAGCAGAAACCTTATTATTCTCAGCTGCGCCGCTAATCTTTTATACTAATGCCTTTCCCCTCCTACCTCCCCCCTCCCCAAGATCCAAGATAACATGATGATAAACATGCTGAATTCTGGTCACACTGGTCACACAGGGACCTGTCACCTCCAGATCTGGTTCTCAGCCAAGCCTGGGAAGGCTCTAGGCATTCTGACATCCTTGTGTACCACTGGAACTGTTTCTGAGGGGCTCTAAACTGTCTCCATACTCTCTGAAACCCTTCTCTATCTCCACTGTGGAAATAGATCCTCTGGCACTAAATCTGGGGTGGGGGGAAGGGGCTCAGGAAAATAGCAAACTAGCCAAAGGGAGGACATCAAAACATCTGGACAGTCTTCCTACTCCCGAAGGCTTATGATAACACTGTCCTGATTCAAGTTATAAAGCAGAGGAAGTATAGATGCTCTGCGGAGGGAGGGCTTGAACCGTCCATATGGAAAGACTTGGGGGAATTCATGGTTTCCCCTCTAGCCTGAGGACTGCAAGAAATTAGTCCAGGACGAAAAGAAATTAGGTGGCAGGCAACCAAGAATCTGGAGAGCAGCAGACAACAGGATGCTGCATGGGGGGGGGCAGGGTGGCCTGCAGGGAAGTTCTGCCAGATACAAGGCTGGTGGGGTGGGGGACCCAGAGAAGACAGACAGTCCGGCTCTCTGACGAATCCTAGGGCCTCTTTGTAAAGTTCTAGGTGGTTAATAAAACACAGATACAAGCTGCTGGAGGAAATAGGATCCCTCTTCTCCCATCTCAACCCCCCAAAAATCTTGATCTCTTTATCCTGAGCTCTTCCTGCTCTTCCAGGTCAGAGAAGGAGTTCCTGGTGTTCCATTGTTTTCCTCCCATCATCCCCGGACTTCCCAACCTGTTAAGGGTTGAATAGTGACTTTTCCAAAACAAAAAAATAAGTTGAGGTCTTGAACCCTGTGACAGTAACCTCATATAGAAATATAACTCTATTCAGAATTCTATTTGCAGATGTAATCAAGTTAAAATGAGGTGAGGTTGGAGTGGCAGACTGTGCTTCAGGGACTGCTGTTTTGGAAGAGGTGAATTTGGTCACAGGCCCACAGAGAAGGATGGTGGTGATGTTTGTGATCCGGGAACACTAATGATGTTATTAGGAAATGGTCAGGAAACAGCAAGAGATAAGGAAGGATGTCCCTAAAAGCTCTCAGGGAACCAGAGCCCCAGTGACACCTTGACTTCAGGCCAGAAGTTGGACATATCATCCCAGAAAGCCTATCACTGCAGCTACAGGAGAGGCTGAAACTGAAGATGGCCATCCCAGGCCAGCCTGGGCAGAAAAATCTGCAAGAGGCCATCATACTGGAAGAACTTGGATACAGTGGCATGCACCTGTCACCCAACCTGTGACAGGAAACCTAAAACAAGCAGATCATTCAGGAGCAGATCCAGACAAAATGTGACACCCTATTTAAAAATAATCAGCGCAAAAAGGGTTAGAACTAGAGGTGTGGCTCAGTGGTAATGTGCCTGCCCAGAAAACTTGAGGCCCTGTGTTCAGACTCCAGGAT